CAGGTGTCCCAGGCGGCGCTGTCGTCGACTTAACAGAATTGTGACGCATGATTTTGGAGCGTCGCTCACTGCTCGCCGCCGTGCGGCAGCAGTTGCGCGAGGCGATCACAAGGTAGCGTGTCCGATTCGGATGTTGCGACTCCAGTTTGACAGCCTGCAAGGATAAGTACTTTGTGAGCAATTGATTGTATAATGAATTGATATCTATTGTGGCATACCATTTTCAATGTGTCCTCACGTTGTAGTAAGTAAAACATTGATTTTAAATGCAGCTGTATGTCCGAGTTATTGCTTTGCGTACTATTGGTGGACCGTGTGGAGTCGGTGCTAAGACGTCGCTCTGCATGCTGGGGTATATCTTTGAGTGCGAGCACCAGAGCGGTGCCCTTGCCAGCAAAATAACATTCGCTCCTTTCGCTTTTGTTGTTACCCTCTTCGTCCTCGGCCTCGCCATCCTGTAAACGATATTCCAAACGTTTATTTTATGATTATTTCCTCAGTCAATTTCTTTTTCTTCCGCGAATCGCGACTGCTGTAAAGAGTGACTCAGACTCACCCAACGGTGTATACAAAATATAATATCTGATTGTGACATTTTTGGAGTTGAGTGAAATTCGTAACCAAACAAACTTGATGATGAATTGCTTTGCAAATCAAAAGAGAAGCAGACGAGAGAGCGAGCAACCGAGCGAGTGTGCGTCGCCACCTACATGGTGGGAAGCTTATGTTTACAATATTGTCTAATAAATACAAATTCCAAGGGCAGGCCGTATCCAAGGTCTTGAGAACTATTTGTTGTTGTTTGTGTTTTTGTTTTTTTGGGTGGGGGCGAGGACGTTTTCGTTGGCGCGCTAACGGAACCAGCCAGAAAAATCACAGAGCGACGTTGACAAAACTACAAATAAGGCAATGCAAAATTTTCAATTTATTGAAAATGGAAGAGAGCGCGCGATGAGGCGACATAGTGTGGCAGCTGCGACGTCGCGAGGTCTGCTCGGATTTGCTTCAGTTACAACAATAAATAAAAAGAACAAGATGTGGGCTATCGAGAGTGGCCGATAAGTGAATACCCTATACCCTATTGCCGTTGTTATGCCAAAACAAACATTGCGATAATAACTGTAAATTCTAAAGAGAGATTATAAACTATACCAAATATAGATATAGATATGGTTTTAGTAAAGCACCACAACTGGTAATCTATACAATGGTTTTATTTGTTATTTTATAAATGAACCATTGAATCATTAACAGGCTAAGAAATAATTTCTATATTAAAGTATATAAATAGTCTCTATCGATGACTCCTTCGCTCTGCCGTAAATATTTACACAAACTGTTATATCCCATTTTAACCTTTTGCACTGTGTACAGGGTATTAATATAAAAACAAAAACAACAACTATCACAGCAAACAACAAACAGATGCGCGAATCGTGGCGCGACTGATGATGACGCTGACAAAACGCCCACAACAGAAACGGTAAGAGAGTAGCGCATGGAGCGACGACAGTGGAGAGAGCCTTTGCATGATATTCGAATTAAACTAAATTGGCCATATGGACTGCCCGTCCGTCACACGTATGTGTACACAACAAAAGGATCACTGACTAGCACGGAACACGCACAGGAAGCGTTTATAGGCGGTGGCTAAAGAACACAGACGTAAAACCCCCTGAACTCAAATAAGCTCCATTAACAACGCGTAACCAAAACAAAGCAAAATCATAGAGAGTCAGCGAATGTGAGAGAACATGAGGTCGAGAGCGACGAAGTGAGTGAGCGGGTGAGTGCTTGATTACAGCACACACACACATACACGCGCGTACACACAACCAAACAAATGCGTAGCTGGTTGCAGCTGTAAAATTGCACCTTACATAGAAATGGGGCAACTCAAATATTTCGCAGGCCGCCCGTTGCTCCCACTTCCTACTTCACATTAACTGCACACATACGCACACATATATTTATATACATACAATTTTATTTATATATGTATACATGTATGTGCAACTCACCGAATTCGAGCATGAGCCCGCCACACTTGGTGAACGCTGCACTGTCACTAGAGCCATTGAGTTCTGTTTAAGTCTTTTGTTGTTTCTTCTGCAACGAGTTCGTATCCAAGGCCTTCGTTGTGGCTTATGCTGGCCTTTTTCCTTTGCCTATCCTTTGCTGAGGTTCGTTGGTCTAATGTGCGTGTGTGTCAATGTCTGTATGTTGAGTCAAGTGTTGGGGCGAAAATTCACAAATGCATTTTCATTTTGTCGACGTCGTTTCCTCTCTCAGTTGTTTTTGCACTCGGCACTTTGTCTTCTCTAACTTAAAATACTAAGATTATGTTGGCGCGTTGCACCAGATTGTAAAAACAGCACACGCCCGTTTAAATTTTTTATACTGCACAACGTATACGAATAAATATGATAAATGTTATTACAAAAAGGTTTTCAAAGAGCAAGAGCTAAAGGCAGTTTAGCACGACGACGCCATATTTAATTTTATAGTCGATAGCATACACTCTTAGTTCTGAAACATATCGAATACGTGCCAAATTGTTGTATTTTGCACAGGTTGGCAGTTCTGCAATATTTATATCGGCTGTCGCGGCGAATTAGAGAGGTTGTGGTGCGGCCTAAACAGATGGCGAAATTACTTACGACAGGAATTGAAATTAAATAAAAATAACATTTCTGGTGAGCCCAGGCAATAATTTAGGCAAATGTCCGGATTTATTGAGGAAAAATCCTTTATGTTGCCCCGCGTGGCGCTCATAGCATGTGGATGCTTCAGTCCACCAACGCCAATGCATATGCGTTTGTTCGGTAAGCATTTTGTTTACGAGAGCCCGGTGATAATCGATATTGACATTGACATTGACATTTTATCCTAATTTAAACAGAGATAGCACGCGATTATTTTGAGCTTCGTGGTACGCATAAAGTTGTTGGCGGTATAATATCACCCACACATGACTCATATGGCAAGAAAGGACTGGCCCCAGCATTGGATCGTTGCGCCATGATAAAGCTGGCTGCTCAATCCTCAAATTGGATACGTTTGTCCGATTGGGAGGTACATCAGCCACAATGGATGCGCACAAAAGCGGTGCTGCAGTATCATCAGAACTATTTGAATAACTACATTAATTCGCCATACGATGAGGAGCCAAATGAGCTGCTACCGGGCTGGCTGCCACCTGGATTGCGTGAACGACGGGATCCCATTCGTCTCAAACTGCTATGCGGAGCTGATTTATTAGAATCTTTTGCTGTGCCCGGCTTGTGGGCCGATGAGGATGTAAGACAATAATGACATAGCTAACCTAGGTCCGGGTTAACAATATTTCGTATTAGATTGAAGAAATTGTCGCTAACCATGGATTGGTCGTCATAACCCGTTGTGGCTCTAATCCTGAAAAATTCATATTCGATTCGGATATTCTAACAAAGTACCAGGTAAGTATATATAGTAGTATCGCGGAATGTTTGTATTATAAGGAACATTTCATTTGTAGCAAAACATAACGCTTATTACCAACTGGGTGCCCAATGAAGTGAGCTCTTCTCTCGTGCGTCGTCTTCTAACTCGCGGTGAATCGGTGAAGTATCTTTTAGATGATATGGTACTTAATTACATCAAGCGCCAGGGCTTGTATAATGTAAAATCGTAAGTGCTAACGTTCGTTCAGTTAGAAATGAATTCATATTCGTGCACCCGCGCTTGAAACTTGATACGTACACTGAAGGGGCTAAGCTAACGCCGCCTGCTACATCCAAACACTGCCATCGTAACACTATAAATACTTCACTTTGTCAGAACATAGCCAGTATGCAATTGCACGCACGACCAACAATTTGTATCTCTCTCTTTTGCAATGACTCCAAACTGAAGGCTGGATACGCCGCCTGAGGGCAGAGAATGACGTTGCACGCACTGCACCTTACTCCGTTTAGATGTAGCACCAAGTTATCTAGAGGCACGGCGGCAACATCAAACCCACCAACTCCACCTCTGTTCCCGCCAACGACAATCAGCCAAAAATATTCTCGTGCAGTGGCGCCTTTTTATGGAGTGTGAGTGTGTTTACACAAAAACTTTAAAACCCAAATTTTGCAAAAATTCTATTTACGTAATATCCAACTCTTGCATGTAAATATATTCACTTTTAATATATATAAGCATGGGAACACGTATGTACACTTCTTATACGCCTTAGTGTTGTACAGTTTTCCAGTGTACGTATCAGCGTAAATTGCACCTATGATCTCTAATTGAGAATAATCCATACCAATAATACGCTAAAGATCATCATTATTGTTGTTGTTATTGTACTGACACGCCTACATTGATAATGGATTTTAGTAAGTATATAACGGATGCAGTGCGTCCAGATCATTTGAATTTCAATCGCACATATATGGACAATAACGAGAATGCAATCAAACCGGAAAACGAGCAACCGGAGCAGCTAATGGAAGATGAGTCGGACAGTCCGCTCAGACAGCAGACTGCGCGTGTATTTTGCTGCGGCGAATCGTCGCGCTCCAGCACCAAGCTGCTGCTGAGTCGCCCTGGTCCCGGTCAGGCGGTGCAGGTTATGACAGTGCAGAGCAAGGACACCATCGATGGCTTGGAGGTGAGTAGAGAACAGCTAGGGCATCTCAAGAGCTAATACAAAATGCTTCATTTTCAGCAATCGCAGCCCAAGAAACAGAAGATAGCCAAAGTGCAGCAGGTCTAAGGAGTTCGAATACCAAAAACTACGGAGTGATACAGGCTGGATACCTATCCAGGATAATTAGGAATGAACAATGGTTTATCGTTGTTGTAGATATCACATTGTACCCACATATATGTTTATCAGATATGTACTGGTAAAACGTTAAATATATCCTATTTAGAGGCGTTTGCCATTCGCATCTATCTTTGGGTCAGTCTAACAAACTGGAAGGCATTGAACTTGCAACGTGCATTGACCTTGCAGCGGCAGGGCTTCCCAGCTGCAGCAATCGCTCGCTAGTTGCCATATCGAATGACAAACTGTTGTAAGCCAACTGAGTGCCACTCTCTGGTTCTTGGTGGTGCTTAGAACCACCATCAGTTGCGCGCTTTCAGTCGTCGCGTTTGGTTCGACGTAACTGGCGTGAATGTTTTTCTTTCGGCGTTCGAATGTCAAGCGTGCACAACGTCCGTCGCGTGCTCCGTCCTTTGCACTGCCCAAGCGGCGTACGTCCGTGCTATTGGCGCCCTCGAATCAACATGATCAGCTGCCGTTTCTGAGGCGCTCCCGGTTCAGCGCCTTGCCGCACTTTCGCGCCCACGAGGATGAGCCCGAGAGCCTTTCCCTGTTCATTGCCATTCTCTACGTGGTCGACTTGTTTGGCATTTTTCCGTTTCTGACGCTGCCCGCGCTGCTGGTTCGGCTGGGCTACTTTGGAGTGTTGCTCGTTCTCTCCATCATCTTCCTGCAGATATACACATCCTTTCTGCTATCACAATGCTGGACCATGGCCGAGTATCTGGATCCCTCGATACTGCAGAAGCGCAACTATCCTTACGCTGCACTCGCCGAACTGGCCTATGGACCCTGCGTCAGCCTCTTGGTATCTGTACTACTGGACCTGAGCATCTTTGCCCTGGCCGTGCCCAGCATTGTCATGGCAGCTGAGAACCTGGAGGCTGTTGTCTTACGCATGAGCGCCGGCCTCTATAATTTCTCCTACTGCTACTGGGCCATTATTGTGGGCCTGGTCATCTGTCCACTCATGTGGCTAGGCAGCCCCAAGCACATGCGGTTAGACAATGTTTTTTGCTTGAAATTATTTTTAGCGAATATCATCTTTATGATTAGGATAGTCTAACCCATCTGGCAATATATATATATATGCCTATATATTTGTATATTTCAGAGGCCTGGCCATTACAGCCGTTTGCGTCATGATAGTAATTGTTGGCCTGCTTTGGTATTGCCTGCTCGATGCACCGGCCATTGGAACGCCCTTTCAAGGAGTCTCGCTGGGTGTGTAAGCTACGCCAAATTTTATAGGAAGACCTATAGATATAGAGTGTTTACATTTTATTGCATAAATTTCACGATTTCTAATTAAGAGAGGCTCTCTTCTTTGTGACAATAATGGAATGTAAACAAGTATTACGCATCGGTTAAAGTCGGCTGGTTAACTAGTTTTTTTCTGGTTTATAATTTTGTATATTTTGGCTGTATTTTTGACACAGAACTACCTGGTTTTCTGACCATCCTGAGCAGCTACAGCATTTTGGCCTTCCAGTTCGACATACATCCCGTGCTGCTGACCCTGCAGATAGACATGAAGCGCAAGTCTCAAGTGTCCTGGGCGGCGCTCAGCGGCATTGCCAGTAAGTGGAGTTTGCTCTTATGTACTGTGGATGTCGAAAGACGAGTATATCTATTTCTGTTTAGTCACTTGCAGCGTGGCCATTGTGGGTGCCGGCATAGCTGCCTACAAGTTCGGCTCCATGATTTCGAGTAATCTGCTGCTCTCGCTGCCCACCAGTGTGCCCTTCTTTGTGATGCTCATACTGATGTCGCTGCAGCTGTGCTTCTCCGTGACGGTGGCCAGCTCGGCTATGTTTATGCAGATCGAGAATTTCTTCAAGTTGCCCGAGAGTAAGTCTGCGTCTAGTCTCTATATATGTATATGTGTGTGTATTTGTCACCCTCCTCACTTAGCTCTGTGCTGCAAGCGCATTCTCATTCGGTCCTGTGTCCTGGCTCTAGAGGTGCTCGTGGCGGAGTTTGTGCCCAGCTTTGACGCGCTAATGAATGTGATCGGCGGCACCATCACTGGCCCATTGGTTTTCATACTGCCTCCCTTGCTGTATCGGCGCATTCGGCGCATGGAACGTGTGCATCAGCGCATTGCCGCCGAGGCCAGCTATGGCAGCCTGCCTCTGGATCTTAACTATGCTCCCGTTGAGCTGGAAATGGAGCCGTTGCTGGTGGCCAAGAAACCGCATTCATCACCGGGCTGCTGGTTGCGTGTGGCGCGTCTGCTGAATCGCTTGGAGTGCGACATCTCGTGCACCATGGCCGTCCTAATCTTTGGTGTGCTGGCCACCTTTCTATCCACCTATCTCAATTTGTTTACCCTGACGGATCTGTTCAAGAACAATTCGCCCTGCCTGAGTAATCTAACGGCGCATTAGTCAAATCCATGCTTCTCCCTCACCCTGAGCTGCGAAGATTAAGATTCAGACATCTCTATAAATATAATCTACAGCTCATCAGAGTTGATGTGCTGAGCTTTTGGGTATTCTATTTCCGTCCTTCGATAAGTTCAGAAACCTCAATTACCAATTTCGATGCAATATTTGTTTAATTAATATGTTTTTTATAATCTAAACTACAAATTTAATAAATTTATTATATTATATACTAAAGGCATGCACAGATGTACTACCTTAAATTTACCCCCCTGTGTGGGGCTGCGTGTGTGTGTGTGAGTGTTTAATTAGTTAAGCTTTATTAAAACATACGTAAAACAACTATTTTTTGGGTAACTGCACAACTGCGCATCATTTATCATGTTTTGGTCGCGTCGCAAATGCTTTGTTTGCCAAATTGTTGAAAAACAAAAAATAATAATCAGAAAAAGGAGTTAAAAATAAACAATTGGCCTGAATAGGGGGCAGTAATCGATCAGCAGATACCCTGTAAACAGCAAGACTCAACTGTCTCTGTCTCTGAGGTTCAATGTATCGATATAAATCGACTTTAAGGAAACATAAATTAAGGGTAAAATGTGAGAGTCGATAATCTAAATTTGTAATCTTCAGCAGTGCGAACAAGGCAGTTTCAGTTTTAGTTTAGGCCATTATTTATGGTATCAGAAATTAGTTGTGAAATTTGATTATACCCTATCGCTGGCAGTACAGGGTATATTGAAAATCGTACACTGTTCGCTTTGCAGTAATTTGAGACCAGTTCCAGTTCCAGCTACTACGACCATGCTCGGTATGAAAGTAAGCCCCGCTTTATGGAAACAGTCGTAAGCTGATAAGGCATTTGGCAGCTATCGTCGGGTTATGATTCTGGCCTAAGCACAATCGCTGAGCTCAGTGTTTAAATTTAAACACAGCTGCGTTGATGCTGATGTTGATGTGTAAAGATTCTTCTTCCACGTAAGAATTTTCTGCCTGCCTAGACCCCCACCCCTCGCCACTCGGCTCCACACCTGCCCGGTGTTAGGCCAGCGCCTGTGCCTGGGTCTTATAAATAAATTTAATTTATTCTTTGGCTGATGTTTAGCTCCATGCATAACGTTTTTTATTTTTATTTGCGTATTTGTATACAATTTTGTTATTTCTATTTTTTTTTTTAAATTTTTCCCCTGGCATTCATTTCCGTCTTCAATAATACGTTTTTAACCATGTTGAAGATGACTCAAGCGTCTGTCTAGATAACCCATGCAAAAGCCACAACAGCAAAAACAACACAAATAATCAAATCTTATAAGTAATATTTTTAATGTGATTATTTATGAAAATTAATACTCATTGTTCATTGATAGCAACGATGTCGACACGTCATCAGCCGCAACAATTTTAATGTGCCAACTCTGCCCTTACAGCGCACACACTCACACACTCATACACTCAGACACTCACTCACACACACCTGTTGCTGTGGCACTTTTATTAGCTCGTTATTTTTATTCAGTTTTTACTGTGGTTGTTGGAATTCACAGCTCAAGTACACACAAAAGCCCACTGAACTCCACTGCCGTTCTACGCACCCTTTTTTTTTTTTTTTTTTTTTTAATTACGTCGAACTTTGGGTTTACATGCGAGTATTTCCCTATTTTTTATGTGATTTGCCATGCTCTTACGAAGAGCATTGTGATTTCGCCAGGCAGACTGTAATGCGACTATAATTATATAATATTATATATAACCTTTTTTTTCAATTTATTTTCTTCTTTGTGTATGTAGTATCTTACAATAATTTAAGAGTTTAGATTAAGAACTAGGTTTTTCTAAATATAACTTTTAGATCAGTTTATAAACTGTTCACTCATGAATTTTCATATAGTGTTGTCATATATTATAATATAGGCAGGTCTTTTATAAAGCAGGTTTTTTTTTATCGAAATTCTTAACATGAATTTTGTCATGCACGAATTTATGATATGCGTAATCTTATCAACATTCGATTTCTATATTGTATACTATAGCAAAGTTATTTGTATTTTATGGAAAGTTGATCAGACTTTCTAATCTAAGCAATTATGAGTTTTTAAAATTCTGCCTAACATATATTTTATAGACTAGCATAGATTAGAGCATTGAAAAGCTCTTCAAAGCTCTTAGGGTATAGGGCTGTCGGCTAGCAAATAAAGCCGTTAATTCTACTTATTTTTTTGTTTCTTGTTTTTTTTTTTTGTTACTTTTTTTATTTATGTTCATCTCAACTGAGTCGCAGGTTCCAATGCGTCAACCCAAACTGCAGAAGGTCTCGTTTAGCACGAACTCTCTGTTTGCCCATGGATGCTGTACATCTCATAGATGAGTCACGCTCGTGCCTAGTCCAGGCAGAGTTGCTGCCGCAGCTGGATGGAGCGGAACTGCCGCCGGGTGGCAAGCTTTGTGGCAGCAAGTGCAACATAAATCGTGCTAATTGATTATATCGTAAAGCGTTTGACAAGCGTTTTCTACAATTTACACAAAACATGCATAATTAATAGTTATTAACTTTTATTACTTATTCAAATACGTAGAAAATACAAAAATTATTCAAAGAGCTTATTGAGTAGCCTCGTCAGGCCATTCTTATTTACATACTTATTTCTGATGAGTTGAGGATTTATTTAAATATATACATACATATGTATATATATATTTATAAATTATTATCTTAGCCATAGACAAAATATTTAAACATACTTTGCAAGAACCTCATAGAGAATTAAGAAATAATTATTGCTATGAAAAACACGTCAAGGTCGATAATGATTAGATTTTTCAATTTATTTTTAATATCGTCCCACTATGTGAATCAAGTTTTCAGAATATTCTAGAAATTATTGAAACTAAAAATCAAAACCTTTAGAATTTCTTTATTCAACTGAAAGAAAACTTTCATCGACTCCTTTTATATGTATGTATATCAGGTCAATTTGAAATAGAGTTTTATACTACATTGTATTGAGCGTAATCATGGGTTTGGCCTGTCAAATATATGCATAGGTAAAGACATATTGCTCAGCTATATCCAACGCTGTTCGATTTCTTCACACGACTGATTGGATTTGAGCGTGGTCATCAGATCAGCTGAGTTGGTGCCTGGGGGCGCTCTCGTTGCTGTCAAAGACTGATTACACGGTGGCAATTTTCAAGTGCTCGCCACAAAGGCTTAACCCAGAAATTAATGATATTTAAATTGCCAGTTCCTTTTGCCAATACTACAATAAAGGTGTACGCGTGTGCGTGTGTGTGTGTGTGTAACAAAAGGCAATTGGTCTCTGGCGAGGTTTAACTGAAATTTCACTTTTCATTTCCTATTGACCCCGATTCATTGGCGCACTTCTTTCTAATTTCGCTGAGCATGCTTCTTCAGTTTGCTTTTCAAGTGCCCCGCAGTTCTTCAAAAATTTTTCTATGCGATTCTATTTTATTTCTATTTTGCTCATTTTTGCTAATCGAATTCGGCATCCATCGATCGATCTGTAATGTCTTTCGAAATGGCATTTATGCGCCAAACTCTGGCTGCTTTCTGCATCGATTGAATGCTCATTAGGCACATTCACACGTGCAGGCTGACCGAGATCTCGCTCTGGTACTTGAGGCCCGGGAAGCTATCGCGCGATGATGACTTTTTGATTTCGTTTGTCTTGGCGCACAGAATCCGCGCACAAAGTGCTTTTGCCGATTACCCGATTACCCAGTTTACCACTCTATATATAGACTATAGCTCTTTTCTATTGGATATAGCTGCCGAATATTGTTATGCTGCTTTTTGCATATACATATACGATTTGGTTGTCTCCCACAGCCCGGAGCACTCGCTATTCACGGCCCGCCTTTTGTTCCACTCTGTGCTGGGCACTTCAGCGTAATTGCCCCCTGTCCTTGGGGCACAGCTACTAGCTTGGCCCATTTAGCAGAAGGTATACAACTCTATACGCATTTTCACATGCATAATAATAAATGAACTAACTAATGTATTGGGGCGTCAATAATATTGTTTATAAATAAATCGATGACGCTAGCTGTGATTAACTATCAGACAATACAAATTGTTTGCTAATAGTTAGATCTGGTATGGCCAGTGTCTGAGAGATTCGCATCGCATTATTCACAGCAATTACAATATTCGGTGAGGCGCTCAAAACGTGAGCTATAAAGGCAATAAAAACAACAACAGCAATCGAGATGCTCAGATGCTCAATAATAATAAGCAAATAAATATAATTACAGACCCGTTCGATAGCTAAATGCACAGTCAAGGACGTTGAAGGCCATTCAACGGTGCTTTTTGCTTTTTGGGGGTTGAGGTCGTCCTCCCCCTCGCCCTACGCCGACTCCTTCTCCTTCACAGTTTACCCACACCAGCCAAAGTCACAGCAACCCGTTACGTCTGCCCGTGGAGCATGCTAATCGAGACGGAACAACAGCATTAAGCCAATAGATTGATGCTGGTCCATAAATTTGCTCCGGGCCAGCGAAAGGGGGCGGCAGCCATAGCCACAGCAGCTGCAAGGCCGCACGGCCAAACTGTAAATAGCCTACAGCTCATTACCATTAGCCGTTGGATGCGGCTGCTAGTTGCTGGCTTCTGGCTGCTGGCTGTTGGCTACGCTGCCGCATCGTTTAGTTTATTGTCTAAAAATAAACGTCCAGACTATGTCGACATGGCCCAAAGCCTAAGCCTCTGTACGAGCCCGAGCCTTGTCTTCCTGCTCCTCGTAGCAATTTTTGTTCTTTTTTTTTTTTTTTTTTTATTATTAATTAGCACAGCTCATTGGCTTGGCCAGAAATCTGAGTGGAATGCTGAGTACGTGCGGTGGTGCGGTGGTGCAGTGGTGCGGTGGTGCGCAGGTTAAGGCCATGCAGCATATGGCATTTATGCTATAGAGCATATATAGCATGGGGTGTTGGCGCTTTGGCGCCTCTCATCAAGGGGCCCAGACAGCGTTTGGACAAAGCCTTGTTGGCCAATTAATTGCCAATAGCTTCGCCTTGCCAAAGACAGTCAACGCAGCCGGGCAGAAAACTTTTAATGGCAACACTTAGGTGCTGCTATAAATAAAACTACCTTTGCATGGTTTAGTCCGGCTTCTAGTTTGTACTTCATTTTCATTGTCAATCCTTCTGTGTGTTC